TTGTGATACTCGTGTACAGAAATGAACGCTTTACTTTCTTTGCAAAACAAAATTGTCTTTTAGAATTTCTCTTGTTAATTAGAGCTTGGCTATCGATTATTGATTATCAATTGGTTTACTGCTTTCATTAATCGATTTGTCTTGAGTAAAACTCGGCCGTGGTGAAATAGCCTAAGTTTTTCCATTGAATTGGAGCACACCGATTCTCCTGCATAGTTCAAAATTATAAGCACTAATTTAAGAATAAAATACTTAATTATGCATTTTCATTTCGATAATTAAAAATTTTATAAATGCGAAAATGTTAAGATCTTAGTAGTTGTAAGTAAAGTTAAAATCTATTCGGTTACCTTTAATAATGCGGTTCCTATTAATGGCCTCCATTTGAAATATGTAGCCAGTAATTTGGTACTTTTTAATTATTAAAATCAATAGGGTTTACATTTTAGCGGTACTGCATCCATCTTTTTTAGTTCATTCTCAAACTAATTTCCTCTCCTTCTCGTCAAATAGCACCTTTTTTGCAATTTTATTTGCCAGCTACTACTTCGAGGGCGCGCAGGCCTTATCACGTTTCCCTTCATCTTGTTCATTGCTGAATAGCCAACCCTCATTAAATCAGTATTTACTAAAATAATTAAGGATATCATAAACATAGGCTGAATTGAAATGTTTTGATAATCAGAACCGTAGCTTTTCACCTTAAATACTTGAATTTCTATCCGATCTTTAGAGATCTGTAGGCGAATCCGGAAAGGTGGGGATGGGAATGAGTGATTTGCGTGAAGAGGGGAGAAGATTCGGAGGTGGCGGTGGCGATGGCGGCATAGTGGACAAATAGACGTCGAGCAGTAGACCATCTGTCGATTAGGATGTATTTAAGCTACCAGATGTTCAAAAAATTCTCTACTCTATTCTATCTGCTCCCCTCCTACTCATTGCGGTGATTTGGGAAAGATGGGGGAAGGTATTGATCTGTGCATTTACTTCACATGTTGGACAGTAAGAGGGAGAGAGGGGACAGCGTTAATTATCCGAGCATCCACATCTCATTTACCTACCTTAGCTGGTACCACGTCGACTCGAACTTGCTTTCTTACATATTTTTTTTTTGCACATTCATTTCCCATCTCAAACAGTTCACTCACCTTTACTCATTTATGCTCGTCTAAAATTTTTTTACTGACACGATTTATAAATTGAATTATATGCTCACTGATCCTTTAATAGTCTTGTTATCCAAGTTCGGTCTACCTGTATATACGTCATTTAATCTGCCCTTCCATCTGACAGAATCCAATCAACACAGATGAAATAAAATTTTTTGTTTGAAGTTTTAACCTGTTTTAGCTTTATTTAAACCAGTTTTGACAGAAGCACCTTGCCATTATATAAGAAAATCGTTGACATCCGTTCTACTGGGAAGATTAAGTAATTTGTTCATACCATTTACAGATTTTGAGGATCAGATTGACAATGAGGCTTTATCCCAACGTCATCGCAAGAAACGTGGACCAAAGAAGAAGCCTCTAACAAAAGAACGCGAGGATCGAATGCGCAGTCGGCGAGCACGAGCCAATGATCGCGAGCGCAACCGGATGCATGGCTTAAACAGAGCTTTAGAGGCACTGCGAGAACGTGTGCCTGTCTTCTCGGCCAATCAGCGATTGAGTAAAATTGAAACTCTCCGATTGGCTAAAAACTACATTCGTGCGTTGACCGACATCTTGGAGAGCAGCGAGGCTCAACCGGATTCCCTAAAGATGGCATTAACGTTGACTGATGGGTTGTCCCAGAATACGACAAATCTGGTAGCGGGTTCTTTGAAAGTCAGTCCTAGGGTACTGCTGCAGATGCAGAAAAGAAACAGTCATGGTGCAAATGACAGTGGAAGCAGCAGTGGCACGATGCCTCAAGAAACAAGTTTAATGAGAGAGACGGAATACTATTGCTCGAGCTATGGATTCGGTCAGGTACAACAGAGCATCTACTCCCCTATTCCCGATTGTCAATTTTCCGACAGATTCATGAATGAGTAATTTTAACTTAGGCAAACAGACAGAAACGGTTCAGATGTTTTAAAGATATACTGATTACGCTAACACACCAAATCAGGAACGTTGCTTTTATTAAAGTGAGGGATTTATATCAAATTAGCGTTTTGAAATGCAGTTTTGATACTATGCTTAGATTTAAAGCTTGTGGAGTGGATTCTAGCTGCCTTTTTATCACACTCACTACAGCACTGACTTGGTGATCAAAAAGCAACTTCTCCTTAGGCCATTTCACTGGTGCAGCAAAGTTACTTTAAAGGCGCACACGCAACTACAACTTGCAGAGTGTTGCATAAATCTCAGCAATCGCTGGCACCAATCTTTTTACCTTATCCCAAGCAACGCCTTTTAACTGCTGTATAGTGA